TCCGAATATTCCTTATCTTATCATTATGGGCTCTTACATTGACCCATGAAACGGAACCGTGTAATCATGGAGAATTAGGGGTGGCAATGGACCCGGAACCAACCAAATCCGATCCCTGGGTGTGGGTTAAAAAATTGGACCTGATGAGTCGGATCGGGATCCAAACATTGGACCGAATACTATTCAGGTTGGGTCGGGTCCGGGTCCAGGTCCAGATCCTGTTGAGCCACCGATCCAGATCTAATAACTTCATGACCAGTTTGGGTTGTTAGGTTTATGCGGTCTTTAAAGGCCTTAAAATGAAATGATATGGTGGAACATGAACTCAGTGGGAGTGTGGTTCCTCGTGGACCATACTAAACAAACAATGTTTGCAGATACCGAACTGTGCTTGACGATCTAGGCCAGTTGGTTGAGAAAAACCCATGTTACTTGAGCATAAAGAACAAACCGAGAAGGGTTTTAATGGGTTAGCCCTTGATGAGGTCGGAAAATATGCTCGGATGAATGAGCCGATGGACTGTGTGACCCTTGTGTGTGATGGTGGAGGACCTGTAATCTACAGACTGAGATTGCGACCCCTTGATTCATCGATCTGACTTTGGTGACCCGCTAATGAGCCCCTGTTTGGACTGTGGATCATGGGAACACTGGGTCGGTTCGATAAAACTAATGTGGTCTGTAGTCCACAATTGAAGGTGGAGTACCCCGTCATTACAAATTGGATTCCTAAAACCATATGGATCATTTTCGCATCATATTAATTTGACTGTGTTCATTTTATTATTGAAATGATTTTAGTTTATTATTTGAATTTTTATTAATATCTCAATATTTTATTTGTGATTTTTGAACTTATAAAAATACAGTTATTGTTCTTACAAAGTTATAAAAATTCAAATATATATTTTAAATTGTTTTTATTCAATTTTAAAAATAATATTTTTTTTTATAATATTCCATAGGGGCCCACAGTGTACATGGGCCTACCATATGGCATGTGGGTGGGGGCCTACATGTGCCACAAAAGGGTGGCACGCCCCACCCTCTTTGGATTCTCTTGTTTGCTTTTAAGATAATGTTAGTTTGATTTGTGGCATGTGGTCAAATCTTGAAAGGATATATTGACTATAGCTTTATCTATTTTGTAACAAGTTTGTTTTAAAGAGATATGATCAATTTATATTGATATGGATCTTATCTTATTTATATTTGATAGTATTTATCTACTTGATATTATTTGACATATCTTTATGGAATATGTGACATGAATCGTACAATTTTATAGAATGCATGATATTTATTTTATTTAAATATATTGATGGGAAAATGGTTTAGGAAAGGGGGATTATAGTTCATGCACCTTCCATAATGTTGATGGCCCATCTATGAAATAGATAGCTCAGATCTCTCACCTCACAAGTCACCTGGTCTATGTTCAATCTCACAAGAAGAGACAAGTTAAAGAAAACCCTAATAAACCCTAATATTATTCAAAACCTATAAAAAATGATTGTCTCTATCCAAAAATCTCTATACCTTATCTCTTGTACCTAATTCTCATCTTTCTCTCTCATATCCCAAAAAGGGAGCACGAGTACGTACCACTCTCTTATGTTTGATCTCTCTCACATTATGAAAGAACCTAAGGGTTTAGGTTATAGAGTTCTTCTCTCATATTTCTCAAATATGGATTTACGGCTAAGGGTTGGATTTACGACTAAAGACTTTAGGGTTTGAGTTTGTGATTAAAGGGGTTCATGTTTCATTGGTGTGGTTTGGCCGAAATTTGTTTTCCCGATTCGAGATTGAAGCTAGACCGTTGATCCCGCACCATCAGATGGTGGTGACTCAATGTGGGGTGTAATAAGCCCCATTAAGGTAATCTTCGATACTTTTTTTTTTTTGTTTCTTGCAATCTTATCTTTTTATTCTTAAGCATGGTGCATAGTTGTTTCAATGACATCAAGTTATTACGATCTTGGTTTTATTGTTGTGTTGATTTTATTTTGAAATTTATCTTATTATAATAAAAGCCAACTTGTAAGTGATCTTTTGCCAAAAAAAACAGGTGGAAAAAAAAAAAAATGTATTTCCCGATAAAAAATTACATAGCTCTTTCTGTCATGAGTCCGGGTCCCATGGACCTAACCCAACCCGTGGTCACCCCTATCAGGAAAATCGGAGACAAAGCCTCTCTGGTAGGTTTTCTAAGTTCACAATATGGCTAACGTGTCCATTAGGGAACATATACCTCTTTGTGAACATGTTAATTTTTTCCAAATTTTTGTTGCTATTGTAAGTCTTTGCTTATGTAAGTCTTTACTAAGTTAACAAACATACAATCCACGTGAAAACCATCGCTTGATTTGATATCATACTACAGTAGGTTCATGGGGTTATAATAGATCTCCCTTTGATTATAGGACAATGGGATACATCTATCCAATATACACTTTGTACCAACCGTAAATTGTACCAAGAACGAACCAGATCAGTTCAATAGTCAAATCGCCGATTATTTGTGCCTGGGCCGGTTTAGTATAAAGTTAATGATAGATTTAAATGAAAATTGGTAAAATAATTGTTTGACTGATTTTAATCATTCAATTTAACAGGTTTTGACCAATTGAAATGGTTATTTTTTTCTTAACAAAAACCTTTTCATATATTTTATATTTTTAAGTTATACATCTAAATTTTTTATTTTTAAAAATCTAGTCTCGTTACACCTGAAGGTTGAATTTTAGGATGAATGACCAAACCAGCTGCGTCCTACCTTATCATTCATATATTAAACTAAAGGTTTTTTATTAGCACAATAAAATTTTTCAAAACAATGCCACTTATTAAAATGTAATAAAGTTTTATTTTCCATTAGAAACAATACATTTTATTCTTTGCAAAATGTTTTTAGGGAAAATATTTAGTGTACTACAGAAAATAGGGTCGTGTTGCATGACTCGATCCTAATATAGGGTCTTGTGGCCCAACCCGATCCTGAAAAACTAGGGACTACGCCACATTGGGCCCAAAAACCGTGGTCAGAGGGTAGGGCCCGAGCGAAGGCCGTCTGGCCAGGCCGGTTGCCAGCCTAAAGCATAATTGGTGCCTCCCGGACACCTACAACATCCAGTTATCGGACAATGCAGATTACACTTACGAGTGGGCAAATAGCCCCTCTCACCCAAAAAGTTGTTTGAGAGAGAGAACTTCTGATTTGCTCTTCCTTTTTCCCCTTCTCTGCTCCTCTGCACCTCCTTCCCCATCTGTGACCCTAAACTAGGGGCAAGTTCACCTCTTTCTTATTAATTTGAATTTTTATTCCAGAGCTCTAGGTTTTGCAACAAATTTTATAGGAATCAATCTAATTATGATGGTGGTTTTCCTTTACCGAGTTTTCAAGAGGCCTTTTTGTGATGATTTTTTTAAAATTTTGCTTTGAGAGATATTCATTTTATGAAGGAACTTTTATTTAGAGTGCAATTATAGTCCCAAGGCATCCATAGACACCTTGTTTATTTTACCTCTAAAGTATAGATAATTATAACGGAACACCTTTATGTCATCGATGACAGCTCACAAAAAAAAAGAAGGAAATCCAAGCTAGAAGTAGGAAAATGGCTCCGAGGGCATTGTACCTTAATACCTTGCTTTGATGACTTCTTTCTTTTGTGTGTGTCCGGTGTCTGCATGTCGATCAGTGGCTTTTGTCGAAACCTGTTCATCTCTTACATAGTCATACATTGAGATATTTACGAAGAAAAATGGTTGCTCATAATAAGGCTGCCAATGTTGGCATGTCAAAGGGTGGTTATATAATCGCACTGTCTCGACCCAAATGTGCTTATGAAGATTATGATTTTGACTTCATAATTATGAAATTAGTCAAATAGCTAACACACACAAGGCCAAATTCGCTCTTAAATTTCTATATAATGGGGAAGAGGGTTTTTACATATGATTGGGTCTAAGGACATTCAATACTTTATTATATTTTTACATAAAACCTCTATACAGGTCTAAACACCTTTTGATTTGGATCTTGAAATATATACAAATAAAAAAAAAAGATATACAAAGAAAATAAGGAAGATCAACACCAAGAGGTGTTAATTCAAGTGAGCTTCATTGTGTCAAGCGCGTCTCTCTCTGTAGATAATCTTCACATGAAGGAAATCAACACTATCCTGGGCTTCTTTCTTTTCTAAGGCATGTAAGAATGTCTGAAGAAATAGTGGGCTTTCTCTCTCTATTATGCAGATAAGATCAAGTAGTGCATGATCACTCTAAGGTTGGTCTGATTAGTCCTCTCCTATTTTCTAGATGATTAACCTTGGGGTTTACAAATCATAGGTTTAAAATTACCCTTCCCATAGAGTAGGATAAACATTATTTTGAACTTAAATTTAAAATATTTTAAAGTGGTTTATAATGAAAAGCTTTAATCTCCTTTTCAATCTAAAATATCATGGTATTTGAACTTAAACTCCAAACCAGCCGAATTTGCATTGATCTATGAGAAAAATCAAGGAATAAGTAGTTATCGATCAAATTAGTGTGCAGTTCTGCTATATCTGGGTCTAATTAATTATACTTTTCGATGGTGAATCCTTTTGATCTGAAAATTCACAAAATAGTCGAGGACTCGAAGAGGAACCTGATGGTCTAAGTCTCACCTCGAATGGGTTGGTAACAAAGGAGATATGCCCATCAAAGTTAACCCATTTATACTGTGGATTTCGACAACAAATTTAACCATTACTAGCTCAACCGTTTTCATCTCAAGGAGTTATGGATCTTGATAACTTGATATTTCTATAGAGGGGCTCATGATGAGCATCTTTATAATTTTTTGTGGGAAAACTCTTTATATCTTGAGAGATATTTATGTTCGATGGTCAAACTTTTGTACAATTTTATGGCTATTATTGCAAGGGCAGCCGCTCTCAAGCGAGAGATGTAGTCACTTTAATAGCTTAGTATGTGCGAATACGAGCCTTAGCCACCAATGCATATAAATGAGGGATAAAATCATCTCTAAAGTGCACTAAAACTTTGGGAAGAGGGTAATTACACCTCAAATATGACTTTGAAGTAGGTTTCAGATCATTCCTCAAGTATGGAAACGTGTACCGTGAGTCAGGGGGCGCAGCACATAACAAAACTGACAATAAATCAAGAATAAATACCAGAAATACAGATATAGATCAGGAAAAAATGTTGTGCAGTTAAAAAAAAACCCTAATTTGATGGACAAAGTTCATGAAAGTAAATTAAGAAAGTGCAGTACAAGAACTCGGTCTCTATCAGCGGGCTGGAAACGGTGATGGGGGAGCGTTCCTTTTGGGGTTGCTGCTGATGAAGGAGAATGCGTAGTTGAGGAGGAGCTTTCCGCCATCGCTAACTAGCTTGTTCTCTCCCGATGTAACTAGCTCTCTCTCTCTTCTTTTCTCTCTCCGCTTCCCCTTTTCTCCAGCTCTCTCTCTCTCTCTCTCTTCTTTCTCTCTCGTCTTCCCTTTCTCCAGCTCTCTCTCTCTCTCTCTCTCTCTCTGTCTTTCCCTTTTATCCAGCGCGCTCTCCCTCTCTCTGCCGCCCTTTTCTCCAGCCCCCTCTCGCTCTCTGCTTTCCCTTCTCTCTAAATTGGAAATGGTTGCTCCTTTCTCTCGCTTGTACGGGTATTCAGATAGGGTCACCGGTTGAGCCCGTGCCCTTATTTTGTGGCATTTTAGGTGAATTAATCTGAGCCCTCCATTTTAATTCAATGGTGAAAAGGTGGGGAGGATAGACGTTACATGCTGTAGGGGAAGCATGCAAAGTTTTCCCTTTGAGCGTGAGCAGACCATTTTTAAGATTGCTTGATGCTTCTTCAAAACCCTTTCCTAATCTCTGCGCGCGCGAACTACAAGACACTTTTGCATTTAGGCGCAACTATGCGTGGCGTTCTATAGCTAAGTCTTGTCCATTCTTTTCTCTCTAAACTTACGCCTCTCTTTCTCTCTCCAAACCTTCATTTACGCACTTTGAGGTTTGAAAATGTTTTCTAAATTTGATGCAAAATATATTTCGACAAATAATGGTTGCTGAAAGTTCATTATGGTTGGGAAAATTGTTTCTTTTGTAATTATTATTAGTTTGGTCCCAAAATAACATGAGCTTTGTAATGGATGAGAACCTACCCAGAACTGTGAAGTAAACCATATAATACTCTTGTTTTTTTTATCTCTTTTTGTAAGTTGATGCGAATAAATGGGTATGGTTCATATCAGAATTCATCGGGTTTGTTGGGTTTTTCTACTGGTTAGAAACAAAATCTATGAATAAAGGGAGGTTGAGATCATTGCATAGTGTTTGGCAATGGAGAATGTGCTTTTTTAGGCCCTATTATAAATCTTCATCGGCTTCTGCTCTATTAGTTTCTGAGGATGAAACCCTTGTTGCCATCCCAAAAATGTCCTCTTCTGCTATTTGTAATGAAAAAGCAACAGAGTGTTCTCGTTGCCCTAAATTTCATCAGGGAAGTCTTTTTCCCCTAGTTGTAAGGATTCTCCATACCCTTAATGTGGAAACTCTCAAAAACCATGGTTTCTCTGACTGTGTTGAGAAGTATGGACAAGTTCACACAATTAAAACATTTGCCATGTTGGTTCATATATTTTCTCTGGCACAAATGAACTCAGAGGTTTTCAAGTTATTGAAGGATATAGTGAGTTATCAGAAGCATCTAGATAGCCAATTCTTCAATTTTTTCAGTGTTTTAGTAGGAGAATCAAGCCATCTTAGTCGAAAGGCTTCAGTTTTTGAGACCCTCATCAAGGTTTACGCAGAGTCTTCCATGCTTGATCAAGCAGTGGATGCATTTTCTCGGATTAAAAAACTTGGTTTCAGACCCCATATTACCTCCTGTAATTTCTTACTCAAGTGTTTGGTGGATAGGGGTAAATTGGAAGTTATCTCTTATGTAATATCTGAGATGAAGCTCTTGGGCCCTGCCCCCAGTGTGTATACTTACACTATTTTGATATACTTCTACTGTAAAAATAAAGATATAGATCAAGCGGCAGAGAATTTGATTGAAATGGAGAAGAATGGTTTAACTCCAAATGCTGTAACTTATGGTACTTACATTTATGGTCTTTGTAGAGTGAGAAACACTGAAATGGCTTTGAAGCTGCTTCGGGATTTGAAAGCAAGAGGACTTTCTCTTACCATATACAGTTACAATGCAATCATTCATGGCTTGTGCTGTGATGGGGAGTTGAATGAAGCCATGTTGATTCTAGAGGAAATGAAGAGCTCAGGATTGTTGCCTGATGTCCATAGCTATAGCATTCTGATTGATGGGTTCTCGAAGAAGGGGGATCTTGTAAAAAGCTTTGATTTATTGAAAGAGATGGTTTATGCGCGCTTAAAACCAAATCTTGTAAGCTTTACCTCTCTCTTAAATGGTATATGTAAGCACGGGGAAATGGATACTGCTGTCACCATGTTTGATGAACTAAAGGCTTGTGGTTTCAAGCTTGATCACACTTTTTATGGTATTCTAATCCATGGGTTATGTACAAAAGGGAGGATGGATGAAGCCATTAATCTTATGGAGGAAATGGTTGTTTTCAATTTGGTTCCTGATGTTTTTTGTTATACCAATCTAATCCATGGTTACTGCAAAGTAGGATCCATGGACTTGGCAGTGAGATTATTCAACCACATGCTTTGCAAGGGTATTTTACCAAATGTTGTTACTTGCACTGTAATTGTTGATGGATATTGTAAATGTGGGTATATTGAGGAAGCTTTTGAATTTCTTGATCAAATGTTAGGGCAAAGCGTCATTCCCAATTGCTTCACTTACAATGCAATTATTAATGGCCTTTGCATGGAAAGAAAAGCACAATGGGCGCACAATTTCTTCAAGAGCATGGTTAAGAGGGGACTTGTTCCGGATGTAGTAATTTATGGAACCCTTATAGATGGTCTATGCAAAGAAGGTAGCCTAATGGAGGCTTTCAAATTATATGCTAGAATGGCTAGAGATGGGGTTCCCCCAAATACTATAATATACACAAACCTTATTGATGCGCTATGCAAGAAGACTCGAATGCATGAAGCTTTAAATATATTTGAGGAAATGGTGAGAAAGGGTTTGGTGCCTGATACTATTTGTTACACATCTATAATAGCTGGCTTTTGTAGAGTTGGTAATATGGCTAAGGCTTGGGAGCTTTACTCTGAGATGGTTCAAAGTGGGTCTCAGCCTGATGTCATTACTTTTACATGCCTAGTTGATGGATACCGTAAGTTGGGTAGGACACATGATGCTCTCATGTTGGTTGATGAGATGATAAAAAGTGACACTATACCTAATGTGGTGACCTACACATCCTTAATTACTGGATTTCGAAACATGGGTGAGTTGGATAAAGCTTTTGAGGTGTATGATGCTATGTTGGAAAAGGGTGTTTTACCAGATTCTGTCACCTTTGCAGTTTTACATAAAAAAGGCCATAGATGAGTGTTATAGCGAAGAGTGTGGTTAAGCAACCTAATAGCAATTGTTATACCTCGGCATATTTGATGAGCTTCTACTTACACCAAGGTGAGATCTTTGTATTCTGCTTCAATTTGTTACATTCAATCTCTGTACTTCACAGAAATCCTACTTACAAAATCACCACAAATACCCCTGCAAGTGTTAAAATATGATGGCACTATCAGAATGTGTGTCCTATCTTGCTGGAACGCTTTCTCTTATTCATAGATTTTTTTTTTAAAAATATGATAAGTTAATGCCTATCATATTTGCCATCACTCCCATATTTGGCCACTTCTTACTAAAGCAGAATATATTTATATGTTCTCTGATTAAATTATTTGTTATTTGTTAACTTAAAACAGAGACAATGTGAAATTTTTCATTGGTTTTTCTTTCATACATACAATGGACAAAATCCCTTGATACTTACTGGAGCCATAATAAAAGTGTTTTCTTTTCCCCGTCACATTGTTGCCTATTTTGCATGGGTCATTCATCCTATGCTCCATATGAATGTCATCCACTGTTAAAGATGTGTATGTGTATGGGTATGGCATGGACACGGCTTGATTCTCCATTCAAAAAGATCTTGAATAGATGATTCTCTGAGATACATTGAATCCGACACTTCCAGATTCTCAATAGAATGCGTGGGATTCTTCTCTGGAAAGAATCTTGTAGAATAGTATTATAATTTGAACTTTTATTTATTTTAATATCAAGTTTTTTATTTAAACCCTAGACATAGAGAAGGGGCGCGCATCCCGAACTTCTGGTTCCACAAACACTATTGTCTCCTGCCAATATCATAGTCAAATATTTGTCAGTTCCTCACTATAACTTTATTGGATTCTTCTTTGGTTCTTGTATGAATATTATGTGCATCAAAGTCTTGCATTTTTTTTTGCACTTGTACACCCATCTTTCATCACTAGTATTTTGATTTCTAATCAGTTATGCTCCTTATCTTGGTGTGCGTGTGTGTGTGTGCGTGCGTTCATGCTTGCGTATGTGCAACAAGATGAAGAGCATGTTGATTGATAAATCAAAATGCTACATTCACATACAGGCTTGGTGATAAATGAAAATGCGAGCTAAGACAACCACAACCATGATTGTGAAGACAAGCCAGGAGGCACAGAGCTCGAATGATGATACAGGAACCCTCGATTCACTCTCTCGCTATAACTTGAGGAGTCTCTGACATATACATGCACAGGTTGGCTACATGAGATCGCTATCATCTTTTATATCTCAATCAACTTGCTCCTTATATCGTTTTATATACACACACACACTTTTTTATTTTTTGGGGTGGTGTGGTGGGGGGGGGGGGGGGGGGAGAGAGATAGCTAAAAAATGTTTTAGCGTTTTCTCTACAGTAGTGTTCTCATATACTCTTGACCATCGAATCTCGATCGAATAGTTGAGAGTGTGTATCAATATTTCAATTTTAGTTGTTTTTATATCATTTGGATTACACTGAAATTTTGGTTGTCTACACTTCAACAAAGGCGCACCTAATAAAACTATGAAAAAATATTTTCAATAAAATAATATGACAAAAATTCCCTGAAACCTTCATCGGTGTTTCAGTACTTTATTTCTATTGTTGGTAGAATCCTAGGGGTCGTTTAGATCCTTGAAAATACACAGTCTCAGAAAATCTATTTCCTGTAAAATATATTTCTACTGTCTGGATGGCATATGGATCCATAACATTTCATTGTTTTTTTTTTTTTAACTTTTTTCTTTAAATGTTTTTGGTTGTGTTATTTATTATAATGTCTTTTTATTGTTCAATTTGAGAAATTTGATCAAGTTTTTCTCTCTAAAATTTTAAGATACTTTCTTTCTGAAGATTCAAGATTCATAAAAGGTTTTGGCTATAAGTTGGTTGCGTGCCATACCTAACACAACCCACCACCTTTACTCGAGATTGGGATGGGTTAAGTGAAAATTTGAAGTCCTCACCCTTCTTAGACCTAAAATTCTCTTTCAAAAACTTAGAATTTGAGAGTTTCTCTCTCTAAAAATTTTGAGATAGTTATCTTTCTAAAAATTTTCAGGTATTCTCTAAAATTTGATATAGTTTCTCTCTAAAATTTTAAAATACTTTCTCTCTCTAAAACTTAAAATTTGAGATAGTTTCTTTCTAAAATTTTTTAGATAGTTTCTTTTTCTAAAATTTGATATTGTTTTTGTCTCTAAAATTTTAATATACTTTCTCTTTGAGATAGCGTTTGTCTCTAAACTTTTTGAGATAGTTTCTTTTTAAAATTTTTCTGGTAGTTTCTCTCTCTAAAATTTGATATAGTTTATGTGTTTATAATATCAAGATACTCTCTCTCTAAAAATTAAAATTTGAGATGGTTTCTCTACCAAAAATTTTTGAGATAGTTTTTCTCTCTAAATTTTTAAGGCATTTTCTCTCTAAAACTTAAAATTTGAGATAATTTCTCTCTCAAAAAACTTTGAGATAGTTTCTCCCTCTAAAACTTAAAATTTGAAATAGTTTCTTTAAATTTTTTGAGATAGTTTATCTCTAAAAATTTTTAGGTACTTTCTCTCTAAGACTTAAAATTTGACATAATTTCTTTTTATAAAAATTTTGAGATAGTTTCTCTACTTCAGGTACTTTCTCTCTCTAAAACTTAAAATTTGAGATAATTTCTCTAAAATTTGATATAATTTCTCTATCTAAAATTTTAAGATATGTTCTCTCTCTAAAACTTAAAATTTGAGATAGTTTCTCTCTAAAATTTTTGAGATAGTTTCTCTCACTAAAACTTAAAATTTTTGAGATAGTTTCTCTCTTTAAAATTTTGGGATAGTTTCTTTCTCTAAAAAGTTGTAGTTACTTTCTTTTCTTTAAAATTTGATATAGTTTCTCTCTCTAAAATTTTTGAGAGGCTTAGTCTTGCTAAAACTTAAAATTTGAGATAGTTTTTCTTCGTAAAAATTTTGAGATAGTTTTCTCTAAATATTTTTTTAGGTAGTTTCTCTCTCTAAAAGTAGATATAGTTTCTCTCTCTTAAATTTTAAGAATTTATCAGTGTTTCAAAATTCAAAACGCGCTAGGCGGTCAGGGGGGTCTAGGCTGCCTAGAACCTGGATGCCCCAGTAGAAATTTTTTTTTTTGGGTTTTTTCTCTCTAAAATCGGTTCTAATGAGTTTTAGGTTTCAAATGAACCTAAAACCTACAATTTTGCACTTTTAGTATTAAAGCAATGACTCCAAAATACCCTCAACGCGGGGTATTTTTCCCCTCGGTGAGGGGCATGCCCTGGGCGGCCGCCTAGGTGGAGACGGCCACCTAGGCGGGTTCTCGGGCACCTAGGAGGGTTCCCGGGTGCCTTGGCTGGCGCCCAGGGATATCAGCCTAATTTGGCCGCCTAGGCTTGGGCGATGAGCCCAAGCCTTTTGGACCGGCTTGGCAGCGGCCCAGGCATTGGGCAGTCGACTTTTTAAAACACTGGACTTTATCTCTTTGAAACTTAAAATTTTAGAGAGTTTCTCTCTCTAATTTGTGGGGTGTTTTGGCAGAATTAATTATATCTTAAAAAGTGGATGGTTCTATAAAGTGGACGTGCCTTCTCCACAGAAAAGCATTTCTGGAAATATTTTTCTAGGATTCCAATTGACCCCCTATTGTCTAAGGCTCAAAGATTCTAACACCCTGAACCCATTTCTAACACTCAACATCGATTGTAGCCCAATTTAGAGTTTTGTTTGATTGATGAAAGATATATTTTTTATAGTTATCATCTCTCGCTAACTTGGGAGAAAAATTAGAGTTGAGTGAATATTGGTTTTTGTTTTGGAAGGTGCAAAAGAATTAACATTCAAAAATAGGAAGATGTCAAAGAATTGGCAATATGGATGACGGACAGGGATTGTTGTCATCAAGGTGATTGTTATTTGTCTCTTCTTGATGTTGGTTTGCCACCCTTCTCGGTAAGCATTGTCATGCAAAACCTTTGTAAGGAAATTACACTATGGTCCTTTCCTATTTCCTATATTCCTAGGACCAAAACATCTGCTAAAACGTATTTTACTACAGTTTCTATCACATGTGAGAAGTTAATGGGAAGCATACTTGAGTGATAAAAGTAACAACAGGTCATGGGATCCTCACCATCTGATCAATGGTAGTAATATATAGAGGGGAACCTACAATTGAATTAGGTAACCATCTAAACTATTGATGGTATGGTGATGACTGTCCTGCTATGATGATTATGGATAAAAGTCTACTCTGTCTAGAATTTAATCCGCTCTTTTTGTCATTTATGTGTGTGTATTCTCTCGTGCTTGTTTTTGCTGAAAAATTTGAGTGACTGAATATTGTTTTTTTTTTGAAGGTGCAAAAGAAATAACATTCAAGAGAGGAAGATGCCAAAGAATTGGTCATACTGATCAAGGAAGGGGATTGGTTTCATCAAGGTAATTTCCATTTGTCTCTTCTTGATGTTGGTTTGCCACCCTTCTCAGTAAGCATTGTCATGCGAAACCTTTGTAGGGAAATTACACTATGGTCCAATGGGCAATTGAAGACCATCAATGGGCAATGCAAAACCATGGTCCAAAGCTTCAACCTCTGTCTGGTTCACTGTCGGATGGTCCTAGATTAGCTTAATGTGGCTCATATGAACTCTTACTATGTACATTTAGTCTCTAAATGTCCTTCAATTGAATAGACAGTGGATGTAGCTTTGGACCAATGAGTACCTTTCCTATTTCCAATCTTCTGAGGACCAAAACAACTGGTAAAAGATATTTTACTGCAGTCTCTTTCACATAAATGAGAAGTTATGGCAAGCATACTAGGATGATAAAGATCACAATCGATCATAGGGATCCTCCCCATCTGATCTATGGATTCACTTTAAATGGAGAGAGTGGGATCCACGATTCAATTCGGGTAGTATCCAACCTATTGATGGTATGGTGATGACTGTCCTGTGACAATGATCATATGGCTCAAGGTCTACTCTCTTTAGAATTTAATCTGTTCTTTTTGTCTTTTATGTGTGTGTATTCTCCTGTGTGCTTATAGTTTTAGTTTGATAGAGTTTTTACTCCAGGAAAAGTACAATAGACATCAATAGTGTGTTGCACACTAAAAGGGCATCCACTAACCTTTATTAATAATGGATGGTGACTATCTATAGTTCCTAGTACAATATACACCAATAGTGTGTAGTAGCACACTAAAAGGGCATCCACTAACCTTTATTAATAATGGATGGTGGAGACTATCTATAGTTCCTAGTGAATAATATTCATCCAGATATGGTTAATCTCCATCATCTGTTATTGTGAACAACCAGTGGATGTGCCTGTACTTTACCATATATGGTGTACCAGTTTCCTATAATAGACACACCATTGCTTTAGGGTTACACTTTACCTTTATTCTAAACACTTTGGGCCCGTTTGGATCCCTGGAAAAGTATTTCAAGGAAAATATTTTTCTAGAAAGATTGATCATTTCTGTTGCTTGGATCCAAAAATTGGGGCAGAAATAATTTTCCGATAGAATCATAGAAATCAAGTTCGCTATTTTGGATCCAAAATGGAGATTGTTTTTCTTGCAATAAAGCTAAAATATCTTTGTCCCTGGAAACATTTTCTCCATCACATGCCACCTGTTGATTTTTCCTCTCTCTTCCATACAACACCATCTCTTCACTCTCTCCCGCATTGAAGCACCATCGAAGCTCATTCTCTCTATGCCAAGATGAAGAGAAGCTGCTCTATCATCGATCAAACTCATCTTCCTCTTTTTTGTTCTTTGTTGAACTTCATTTTTTTTTCTTCAGGGAACATTTGAATTTATTATGGTAGAAGTATTACAAAACGTATGAGAGTGCTACCCATAGATCGGGAACTCTGCACAAAAACCTCACTAAATACATTATCATAGATGCAAAAAAAGTTTTTTTTTTGAGAGAATTTTTCTAAAAGGCTCGGGTAGCCAGCACAATAGCATGGGTTCGAGTCCTGAGAGTGTCCACTTTGTGCATAAGCCAAAGGTTAGGACCATTTCCCATCCACCACTCCCGGGACCTTGCTTAGGCGGGACCAGCACCGGGTTATGACCCTTTATATATATATATTTTATACATTAACATAGATGCAAAAGAGTTTAACAAAATATCTATCTAGCAAAATCTCCTATAGAGGTTAATCACAAATTGTATGACTGTCAGAGCCTCTGAGTTAACCCTGGTGTACATTAGAGATTACTGGGTTAGAGATTACTGGGTAGACTTATTTATTTTACTATCACACGACCAAACATTGCACATGCTCTAGTTTATGCACGCACCATGGTCCCAACATTTGGAGGCTATTTGCATTTTACAGAATTTAAAATTTACTCCAGGGAAAGGGCTACTTTATATTAGTTATGGTTACCTTGATGTACAAGGTTTTTGTGATGCAGATTAGGCCGGTTGTTCTCTTGATCAACGATCTACAAGTGGCTACTTTATGACAGTGGTGGTAATTTAGACACTCGGAAGAGTAAGAAGCAGATTGTTGTAGCTCAATCTTCAACAGACTGAGTATCGAGCAATGGCAAGTGCTACATGTGAAATAATTTGGCTCCATTTTCTTCTTCAAGAGGTGGGTGTTTATGTATCTGTTCTCTTCTTCAAGAGATGGGTATTTATGTATTAACCAATGTTCCAAAAAGCGCTAGGCGGGTTCTAAGCAGCCTGGGGGGTCCAGGCCACCCAGCACCTAGGCGGGCGCTCAGAACCTGGGCGGCCCAGTTGAATCCAAATAAGGATTTTGCAGTACAGTTATGTCAATATCAGTTATATGTATTGCCGTACATAATTCAAATTATACTACATATTAGCATTTAACACACATTCTATAAACATAACCATAATCCATAAGTCAGTTCATACTCCATATCCATAATCCAATTAAAACTTAAAATTTACAACCAACCAAATTATCAAACCAAGTTATCAAATAGTATCACACCAGTATTGCAGTACACCACCATGAGGAACAAAACAAAATTGAATTATGAAACTATGAAAGTAATATTTGAAGACTCAAAAGAATCTTCAATAGTTCAATACACAATACCTTAATCAAAGTTCAAACTTCAAAGTTTAATAATTATTCAATTCATTCATCATTAAAAAATCTTGGGTCAGCTGCATTGGCATCATATTCATCGGAGTGGACAGAGTCATCACGATAGACTAGGTCATTGAGCCTCTTTGATTTAAGCATGTTCCTTTTCTTTGTATGAATCTAACAAAATCAAATGAAACTAACTAAAATCTAATATCTATGGTTCATGTATTATTTATAAAATGATACAAATTACCCTTACGGCCTTACCCCTTCAAAAGTACTCCAATTGCGCTCACAACCGGATGAAGAAGTGGTTAGGTTTAAGATCCAAATGGCCAACTTTTGTAAATTTGGAGAACTATGCTCATGTTGGCTCCACCAATGGGCTGCAAAGATATATAATAAAATGATAAATAAATAATAAAATTACTTGATTACTTGAACAATTGAACTTGATGAACTTGAAAATATTATTAATACCTAAATCAATTTTGGCCC